GTAAGCTTACACCGCCGGTTCTCACATGTCACAACCTCTAACAGAGAGGACCGTGTGAGTAAGTAAGCTTACACGTGGCACAACCTCTAACCGAAAGGGTAAGCTTACACCGCCGGTTCTCACGTTGCACAACCTCTAACCACATGGCACAACCTCTAATCGAGAGGGTGTGAGAACCGAGAGGATAAGCTTGAGAGGGTAAGCTTGAGAGGGTATGAGGTCACAAATCGCCGAGAGGACCTCTAGCTGAGAGGGTGTGAGAAGGTATGAGGTCACAAATCACCGGTTCTCGGTGGATGTGTGAGAAGGTATGAGGTCACAAATCACCGGTTCTCGGTGGATAAGTAAACTTACACGTGGCACAACCTCTAACCGAGAGGGTATCGCGGCTACGTGCAAACGTTGGGCTGCCTATCCCCCGCTGACCAAGTTATTATCGCATAGCTATTTATAAAACAATACGTGACACTCATCCTTGGATGTGGGATAATTCCCACAAGCATTAAATTATGATAGAACTTTAATATATATTATTAACTTTCCATTAAAGTCATACAACACAATGTGGCCTTGTTGGTTATTTTATTTGAAATCTCTCTCTTTCTACTAACAATCTGTTTCACTAAATTTATTCTAGAAACCTAAAAAATTAAATTTTTGAAAAATTAAAATTTTATTTCGATAATTGGTACGCATTCTAATAATTTCTACATTGATAATCAAATCTTTTATTTTATTTATTAAGTTTTTCATTATAAATCATGTAATGTACTATTTTTCTTACAGTTGTCAATAATACATTTTAGATTAGATGATATTATAAAATATTTTGGATTTTTGGTAATAAATTTGGATTATAGTTAGTTAGGTTGTACTAATTTGGGTTTCTTTCAGTAGATTAGGGTTTTCCGTCAATTCAAGATTTTAGGGGCCCTTTTTTCATCGATTTAATCTACTCTTTATTGTAGTCCATGTATGATTATATACTTTATCGATGATAATTCTATGATTTTTCTTGTATGTGATGTAAATTTAATGGTTAACATAAGTTTATATAGGGAAAAAACATTTCAATATTCACAAATTGATGAAAAAAAGGACAGGTAATAATGTAGTACCCTCATTTCTTATTGGATTCCTAAAATACAACGTTTATAATGAATTTTAATATTTATTTTAGATTTTTTTTAAAGCTTAATCAGACCGATTCGGCTGATTCCCGATCCGGATCGTCGATTCACCGATCCGGATGGGTTTTTGGAGTGCCCAATCAGGGGCACCGATCCGTTTTTTAAACCAATGGTTGAGACCAATGGTTTTAAAAGTGGATCGGCGACCCGGATCGGGCATCTCAAAAACCGATCCGAATAGGCAATCCGGATTGGGAATCGGCTGAATCGGTCAGATTAAAACTTCAAAAAAATCCGAAACAATTATTAAAATTCATTATAAATATTATTTTTTAGGAATCCAATAAGAAATGAAGGTACTAAATTATTAACTTTCATTTTTTCCATCAATTTGTGAATATTGAGATGCTCTTTCCCTGTATAAACTTATGTCAATCATTAAATTTGCATCACATAAAAGAAAAATCATAGAATTATTATAGATAAAATATATAATTATATATGGACTATTATAAATAGTAGACTAATCAATGAAAGAATGGCCATTAAAATCTCGTTTTGGCTAAAAATCTTAATCCGCTAAAAAAATCCAAATTATTATAGCCTAACTAATTATAATCCAAAATTATTAAAACCTAACTAATTATAATATTATATATTGAAATTATAATTATTAGTTTACATTTTATAATTATTTTATTAGACAAATAATAACAAATTTAAAATATTTTATAATATTATCTAATTTAGAATGTATTATTGACAACTGTAAGAAAAATAGTACATTACATGATTTATAATATAAAAATTAATAAATAAAATAAAAGCTTTGGTTATCAATGTAAAAATTAATAAAATGCGTACAAATTTTGGAAATAACACTTCAATTTTTCAAATTTTTTTTTTTAGGTTTCTATAATAAATTTAGTAAAAGAGATTGTTAGTAGAAAGATGGAGATTTCAAATAGAATAAACTTTTTATGTTTTATTTTTTTATGCCTTTCATATTATTTAAAAAAATAATTATGCCGCTATATACAACAAAAATTAACTGCTATACAAAAAATTAACTTTTTTATTTTTCATTTTTTATGCTTTTTATATTATTTACAAAAATATTTATAGAATATATACAACACAAAAAAATAACGCGCACGAAAGAAGTCGACCTTGAGAGGTCACATGAAGAAACAAAAGGTCTTAACCACCACGCCACCTCACCATATGTGATTATAACTTAATGATTAATAGAATATATTTAAATTCCTTTTTCATTTAATGATGTTTGGGAATTATCCCACATCGAAAGATGGGTATTCCATTTTGGTATATAAATACCTATGTAATATAAATTAAAATGTTTGTATAGAAATATTGGGGTAACCTCTCGCACGCGTGCAGGGAGGGAACCAGGTAGACTTGGACAGAACCGG